CATTCACTTGAAGTCATTAGTACACTCACAATGAATGCAATTAACATATTTATAAGAACAATCAGGTTCGGGGTATTGTGCTTCGGAGCTGAAACCACCCAGCTGAGGCAAAGATAACTTGGATGGGAGGTGGCGAGAAGCTTTGCCCACACCAAGTGGGCAACAAGTGAGCCGGGAACAAGTTCACACTAAACTCTCCCCACTCAAGGCCATACCTGTAAGAGGTGCGGAACCTCCTCCTCGCGCAGCGCCGCGCTGCCTCCGGCCCAGCGACGAGGGAAGAACGGCTCCGAACCCCATCACCACTCCTCCAGAAACGATTTTAAACAGCGCCATCTCGACAGCTCCTTCAACCAACCAGTCAACTCCGAGCATTGTGTGTTATAGCGTTTTATTATTTTAGAATATTAACATAATACAGTAAAATATTCTTTTCAAGACTGGTAACAAGATATTAACAGTGAGAGGCAGGGCTACGAGGCAAGTGCCACAGGCTTGCTCTTCCACCGCTCAACTTCCACTTCAGTTGCAGTGAAATGGCTCCCAGCTGCTCCCGCTTTAGGGACGGGGAAACAAACTCCACCGTCTTACTGCAGAAAACAGGGATTAGAGCACCAGTCAGATCTAAGCCTTCCCCTCCACTTTTCTCCTGCCTTGAAACGAAGCTAGAACACAACCAAAAATACACGAGAATGCTGTTAAGGGCTTTGCGCTGCTGGCTTAAAAACATCATAAGCACAAAGCACTCCTTATGTCAAACAGCCAGCACCAAACTCCTGAAAAAGCAGTATGGTTTCTGTTTCCTCGCTTACTGGGCAAACGTACAAGTATGGACACAGACCTACAGGATTTAAGACCTGGAAATAAACCGTGTGCATTGCCGAACAGCAGAGGGTGTTTGCAGCAAGGAAATTCTGTCCTGGTGCATCAATGAACTTCCCCGCGGCCAGGATTTGGAGCAGAAAAAGCAAATAGCCTTGGGATCACGGGGTGAAAGGAACTGCGCGAGTGCAAGCAGCGTTCCCTTGCTGTCCCAGGAAACCGCTGGCTTTGCCGGGGTATGCAATATCCAGGAACCAAACCTTGTAGTCAGAAACACTGACCTGTGGGATACGGTAAAGCCAAAGCAAGCGCAGCACTAGCCAGGATGATTGAAACCGCGGGAGAAAGAAGCGCGAGCCCACCCTGTGGGAAACATGGTCTGTCCTCCCCACCGAGATAACCACTTAGGAAGAAAAAATAGCTTTGCAAAATACATCAGGAAGCATGAATTTCTTACAGCGACTGTGAAGTAGTCTGCCAGTTTCAAATAGGCTCATGTAATACCACTCAGTTTTCCCTTAAATCATATTTTTAAGGGGGGCAGTGACACTCGCAACTATTAATACTCCTTAAACCAGCAGACGGTGTCAGCTGAGACACAAAGGAGCACGTTTCCGGAAATAATAGCTCCAATCTGGCGAATCACACCTTTCCGTTTTGAGGCTGGTATACCTCAGCATGAAAAAAACCCCACAAAAACCCACCCCATCCTGCACAGCTCATCCTGACCCAACAGCCCCCAAAGTCCCAACACAAAGCATCTCTTATCTACCGCAAACCTGACAACAGAGCACTTCGGCTCCGGAAGGGACAGGACAGGACTGGTTTTCATGGGATATCCTGCCTAAAATCCCTGGGACCTGCAAGTAGCCAAGTACCCCAACCTTGGGCAAGGCAATGGGAGAAAGAACCAAAATAAACTCCCCTTAGAGTTGACATTAATTCTTTTCCAGAAAACACAAGCTGTTAACCTTTCACGTGCAAGCAGATCACTAAGATCTTTACACTGAGGTCACAGCAACATTCCTAGCAATACGAGTGTATTACTACGGGCTAGGGATTTTTGTTATTGTTGGTTTTTTTTTTAAAAAAACAAAGGTAAAACAGTCCTTACAGGGAAGCTGGTGAATGCTCTACCACAAAAGCAGCTGTTAAGGGTTTCAAGAAGTCCTAAACTGCTCCGGGTAGGGTTGTACTGGGAGTCAGCTTCATGATTTTGGGTCAGGAGAACCTCCAAACCTTTTAAAAAACTGGATTAGTAGAGCAAAGCAAGACACTCAGAGGAAATGGAGCTTAGTCTCCGAGGACAAGATGGGCACAGGTGACAGAAAAAGACAAGCACAAGCATGATTTCGGCGTTTTCAACGCTGAACCATTTACCCCGCTTCACTGGCCAATGAGACCAGCATGAACACAAAGCAAAGCATTTTTCGTATGAATTCTGGCAACTATTTTAGAGAATTCTGAAGAAGTGACTCTAACAGTGAGAAGTATAAAGGAATATTCAAGAGTTCCCAGACTTTCACAAGAGGTCGTCCATCTGCTCGGGTAGCAAGCAGGAATCAAACTGCAAATCAGACAAAGGTTTAGGCGAGTTGAAGCCAAGTGAAACAATCGCAGCTTGCTCGAAGTTCAAAACAAGCCAAACCTTGAGACATTTAAGCTTCAAGGAACAGGAATGCAGAACATTAACATATCGCCGCCATCCAAAGACTGGTGGCAGAGACAAAGAGCTGGTAGCAGTGGGATTTCCCCGACACAAAAGCAGCTTGACAGACCGCAGGCAGGGAGCTGCACCACCGGCTGCTGCCAGAGCAGCGTTTTAACTTTCCAGTGCCTCAACTCTGGTTTCTGATTTATTTATTTTTTTTTCCCCCCTCCAGGTGATTACCCGAGATGCTTCAAGGCAGACAGAGCACAGCTTGGGCTTTTTTGCCACCTACAGTCCCAGGGTAACCATCAGCGTTGTCCAGGAAAAAAACAACCAACGCTCCTTGAGCAAAAAAGACTGCTTCTCAATGAAACTATGAAAGAGCAGTTAGAGAAACCTCAACCACCCTCAAGGCTGCGTCAGCGAGCAATCGAGGAGGTCAAACTGCTGCTGAAAAAGACCAAGTCACTTCCTCTGTGCCGGATGTCGCAGGGCAGGGGCCCTGAGCGTGCAACAAAGCGTGAGTCAATGGTAAAAAGCAAACACCAACTGTGTATCTACAAGGCTCCATCCTTGCCGATGAATTCCAGGGACATATGACTAAGTTCCCTTGCAAAGAACAAATGTTTTCCTAATCGACCACTTCTGCACCGGAGTGCCACGCTGAACCAACTCGAGCATCATTTCGAGGGGAGGCGCTGGTGCACTGAACCCCCATCAGCTGCCGTTCCTGCTCCTGACCCTCCTGCGCCAGCACATCTCAAAGAAATAGCAGAAAGCAGAGGAGAAGACTTCAAACCGCAATTAGAGAGATGAGTGAAGACGGTTTACAGTTTTAAAAAAATTGCTAAGCCACATTTTTAATACCTTATCGATTTTAAGGCATTACAATTTGCAAACACAGCAGAAGAGACCATTGGTCTCTCCACTTTTCCCCCAGCCTTCCCCGCTCCGTTGCTCTTCCTCCTGGTTGCTACCTGCTTACATTTACCCAGTATTAACTCTCCTCATCCATCCAACCCCACCTGCCCTCTGGCAACCCCCCCCCCCCCCTCCTTTCATCCTCCCACTGTGCCATGGTCTGACCCTCTCAGATGGCAAACTGTTGCTCCCTAAAGTCACATCTGGAGCATACGAGAAGTCCCACTTCCCAAAATATCCCGCACAGACTAGATTTCCAATTGCATTCAAAAGGTCAGTTAGTAAAAGAAAAATCCCCCCTTCAGTACAAGCTGGATACCAGGCGGAACAACTTCAGGACGTGAAGTCAAGCGAAATATTCAGGTTCTCACACAAATCAAGTTTACACCTCCACACCTTGCAATGTATTCCTCCCTTGCAGATTTTCTTCCAGCACTGGAAGTGCCAGGGTATCAGTTGCAAAACGTGACCACCTTTGTGGATGGGTGATGCTATTGATAGAGACAACGCTCTGAGTAAAATATATTAAAAAAAAAATAAAATAAAAGCTGCATTCACTGTCACAGTGAGCAGTTGCAGCTCCCGATTCAGTTCTCCAACTGTTGGGTGGAAAATTCCCCATCACTGAAACTAAAGAGATCATCAGAAAACTTGGCAAACTACTGGAAAGCTGTGCTAATGCTAATTTATAATCACTGTTTTGATCAAATACAGGCAAGACCCCTACTGTGGGGAAGGTTGGCCACAGGTGGCTTTAACACAGCTGTACCCAAGTAAGATACAAGGCCCACTGGGCACTGAATTTTGGGCAGAATTTTCAATTAGCAATCCTCCCCCTAACGAGTCAATGATGACAGCAGGCTTCGAGCGCAGCTCACGTGCCACGCTGCTGGGCAGTGCCCACGCAGGCGACAGCCCACCGGCTTCCAATCCAGCCGAGCTCGTCGCCAAGAGGAACAGAACGACCCGCTCCGTGTCCAGCCAAGAGAGGACAAGCAGTCACAGACTGAAATTGCAGCGAGGGAGATTTAGGTTGGGCATTAAGACAAAGCCTTCTAACAGGAAGGATAATTAAGCGTAGGAATAGATTGCCTGGGGAGGGACAGGAACTACCATTCCTGAAGGTTTTACAAGCGGTGGGAAACATCTGTCACGCTGACCCCACTTTGGGTAGGGGGTGGATTAGGCGGCCGTTCAAAGACTCTGTTTTCTAACTCCCCAACCCCCCCACTGATCTCTCCTTACTTTAAACTGTCCCGATCCACGAGCTGACAAGAGCACAGAAATAAATTTCGTGTAGAATACAGCACTCGGGAAAGGCTCAGACTTAGAGCAGGCAAAGGGCAGTCGATTGCAGGCAGGGGCTGGGCAAGCCTCCTCACACCCCTCTGCTGGGGTGCCGGCACCCATTTCCACCCCAAAACAGGGGCTGCCGTGTGGGTAGCGGGTTCCACACGTGAGCACGCAGCTAGCCAAGAGGCAGACTGATGCCCACCAAGCTTGCTGACAAGCCCACGCCTTCCGACCCCGGATTTACTCCGGCGCAAGGCAGCCCTCCTCCATCTCCTGCCCCACAGGACTTCGCCAACACAGACAAACAAGTTACCTTTTTAACATTTTCCTCCTCTTCTTGGCGTTTCTCATAGTGTGAGAAGTCATCAAAGATGGAGGTGGTGTGCTTGTAGGTGGCAATGATTTTCAACACCTGCTTAGCCTTTTCCAGAGGCACCTCCTGAGTGTCCCTGGAGTTGGTCACTGGTTTATTCTCGTTGTTCTCTAGGCGGATGTGCCGCAGCTGGCTGTTGGGAACGTCCTTCACAAAAATCCACCTGACATCAAAACGTCCCTTCCACTTGTCCTGGGACCACACACCCGCACACGTGTTATAGTCCACAGCAGATTTCATTTCTGCTACTCCGCAGAAGTGACCACTACCGTTGACACTGAACAGTAAGTAAACGGGGCCCTTCCCGTTCATGGAGCGATAGGCGGCATCCAGTCTCTTGTTGCCGTGCTCTGTACTGCACCAGATGTTATATTTAATGGAACGGTGGATATCGTCCTCAGAGTAACTCTTAATGATGAAAACCCGGCCGTGTTTTGGGTTCCAATCAAAATCCTTGGGGTTGTAGTTATTGATGGATCTCAACTTCTCCAAGACCGGGTGCGGCTCCGAAGGAGCAGAACCAGAACTGGCCTGAGACTGTCCCACTCCGTTACCGTCCACTCCGTTTTGACCAAACCCGTTGCCGCGATTACGAGGGGCGACCCAGCGGGTGGGCTGAGCCGCCTGCTGTGGCACGGGCAGCTGGGCCGGCTGCGGTGGCGGCGGGGGCAGCGGCTGGGGCTGCTGCCCGCTTGAAGCCTGTGCCACCGGTGGGCTGGTACTGATCTGCTGACCCACGGGCTGGGGGGACACCTGGGCTGGCTGCTGACCAATATTCTGAACTAAGGCCTGCGACGGGGCTTTTGCCACCGGCCCTTTGTTATCCCAAGTTCCAATATCCATGTTGTGTTTTATCGGAGGCGGTGGAAGACTTGAACCTGCAATGCCATTCTTGGTCTTCAGCTTGGGCTGCTGCTTAGCCGGTTTGCTAGCGATGTCAGCCCAGGAGGTCGGCTTTGGAGGAGCGATAGTAGCCGGAGGCAAACTGTTAGATGCCACGATATTACTGGTAATGGATCCGCTACCGACAGCCGAACCAACGACTTTGGGGACGTTGCTTGCAACATCTGTGCTGCCCAGCTTCAGAGCTGCCATCCCTTGGTCGATGGTGTTCATGCCAGGAGCCTTGTTGAGAGTCTCGTTAGCAAAGGCAGATTGCCCATCAATCATCGCTCCACCCAGCGAGCTAGGGGCATAGGCGTAATTGCTACTATAGCCAGAGCTTTGAGTGGATTGTCCCTGAGAACTGTTATTCCCCCAAGCCGAAAAGTCAATCCCACTTGGAAAGAAGTTAAAGCCGTGCTGCCCGAGAAACGGAGTGCTGCCAAGGGCCCCTGGCTGCCCGAACATGGCGTCTGGGAGGAAGTGAGGCTCCCCGTTGCTCAGCTGTCCGTAAGAGGTTAGGTAGGGCATGGGTGGGTCACCCCCCGTAGACCAGGCAGCTTCGCCTAAGGAGTAGGAGAATCCAATGGAGGGACTGTAGTAGTTTGGTAAGTAGGAATCGGACATTGCAGTGTATGCATTATTCTGGAAAAAAAAAAAAAAAGAAAAAAAAAGGCAAACCAAAAAATAAGCACTGAATCGTTAGAATGAGCTGAACAAATTTGAAGGGACCAGGAATAAAAGCCATCTTAGACTTCCCGTGCCCCACCCTTCCCTACCTTAGGGCTGGGCAGATAAACAGGCCCGGCCTTGAACACCTCCTTTGTTAGAAGCGCTCTAAAAACTGTTTCATTGCCAGAAAGATTAAACACAAAGGCTTAGCAAGCTTCCCAGGCTCAGACGGGATCGTATTGTGCACCTGATGCACGATGTGGGACTGGACACCGGACTGCCCCAGAGCTCCTGCTCAGGCTATGAAAACAGTACCTTACCTAGCATCCAAATACTATCTTCTACTTTTTGTAGCTATGACCAAAGAGGGCTTTTCTTGCCTCGGTAACATACAGATCTGCCTTTAGTTTTGATGTTTGAGGGGAGGTTTGGGGAAAGGATCCAGAGAGAAGTGGAATACAGAGGAGAAAGGTCCAGTGGAAGCGCACTGCCAAAAATGACTGCCTTTTGCACAAGTTCCTTCCTTAAACTTATTACCTATAAAACCAGCTTGATCAGTACAATTTAAAGTTTGAGAGCTCAAAAGAACCTGCAAACAAACAGGGATTTAAAGCCTCATCCTCAAAACACAAACTGCTCCAGTGCTGTGGGCACATACTAAAAAATACCTGAAAACGGGGAGTAATTGATAGGGTTTCAACAGCAGCCTTTTACAGCGTGGTGACAGCAGCAGCCCAAGAAAGCAGGCTTCAGATTCAGAGAGGGGAAAAAAAGCCGCTCCACACCTTGGACTCCCTTTTAAAATCCAAGTAGCCTTTAGGTTACGAATACAAATGCCTAATTTTACAATTAGGGAACTCTGAGACAGCACCAAGATTTGCTTACATGAAAAACATCTGTCATTTTGCATTCAAACCAATGGCCCCTCCGGGGAGCGGTTAAAGCCACACTAATGGACATTATCATCCCGTAATTTGAACCTGTGCGCAGACAGCCTTGTGCTATACAGCCGCTTACATGCCAACCCAATGCAGATGAGATGAAAGTCAGGTTCAGTTCCCATCTAAAAGCTTGGCTTGCAGCAGGCTCTACTCCATTTTTTCGTTGAATCACGTTTTCCCGTGCCAAGTGCAGCTCCCAAAGGACTTCATGCCATACTGAAATCTATGAAGGCTCTCAAGATGGCTCTGGCACCCTCCAGAAAAAGCCAGTTTGTCTCTCCACCTTCCACTGAGTTACAGGAAAGCAACAGGTTTGGGGCTAACTGGGTTAGCCCCAACTTTAGAAGAATTAATAGCAATTATTTAACATAACGTGTTCGAGAGACAAGGTTTGTTTTGTTGTATAAAACACTAAAAAACTTTCTGTGATACTTCATGGCGTGAATGCGCGAAAGAAAATTCAGAGACACTCTCCAGCCTTTCCGTTTTCCCAAAGAAATGGTCCCAAAAGCAAATAAATAACAAAACTAACTCTTACCCAGGACACAGCTTTACTAATTGAGAAACCCAGTCCTGCTAAACCCAAACCAACGAACAGTCTTTAGGGCTCAATCTGTCCAAAAGCACAAATATTGACATTGACTAATTTGTAAGGCAAATGAAGGAACTTAAAAATATCATTATTTTGAACCAGCAAAGTCTCTTCAAAAGATAATCCCCTCGATTACAAGAGCAACAACACACTCTCCTGGAAATTAGCTTTAACGCAACATAAACATGCCAGTCCATACCTAAAGCCTGAGCCCAGCAGGCAGAGTAGCAGCTTCCTCTCCGCAGGCTTCTCCCTCAAAGAACATCGCTGTCAGAGGAAAACCTGTCCTCTTGTCACCTCCAAATATTTCTCGCATGCCATTATACGTTTAACTTCATGAGATATTTTAATGTAGTCTGTATTAAGCTATTACCTGTAGAGTATTCACCAGCTACACTCGCGTAGTAAGGCGGGAGCACAGGAGTTAAATCTGCTTTGAGCTGGCACTGCTCCACTGCTGTTTAAGACAGGCTCACTGCTGTTCACCACCTGAACATCTAGAGCTACGCTCGGCTATCAAACACGCCACCTCGCTCTGCTACCCTGCGCTCGCACAACTGACACAGTTACTGTGTGCAAATAAAACTTCTCCGGCTTTTAGTTCTCTCCAATGACTAAGACTTTTTGTACAGTTATTTCCTCAAATTCACTATTCCTCTTCACCTCAGATCAGAACCAGGGTTTAAGCTTAGTGTTGCCATTGAGCTTTTATATTTTCCACTGTTGAAGAATCACTTACTGTGTAGCTGAGCTTCAAAATACACAGTAAGTTAATTCCCTAGGCTGACAAACTAGTAACAGTGGCACCTGAAGTAGCAGCTCCTGAATGAAGAGCCATGAAACTTGGTTACCTCACACTTGTGTGGGGAGCTCAGAAAGGAATTTCAGAAACCCCTCCCGTTACTCTGCAGCAGTGCGCTGCATTTGATTGATTTTTTTTTTTTCAGAGCCGTACCTCTAACTCCCTTTCCCATCTTCAGGGAAGCGATGCACACTTTGATACCTTTGGATTTTGAGCCTTGCTGGGTGGCACAGCATGGCTCCCTCCGGACTGAACCCTAGGGTTTTGTTTTCTATCACATCGAGCGTCAAAACACGGACAAGAACTGACGAGCTACACAGCACGGTGAGAAACTGAGATAAGTCGCCCTAAAGTTTCATCCAAAGTTAACATGGTGGTTTTACCTCACTCCTGCTTTTTGCTGAATTTCTACAGCAACAGCTCTGCCCCACCTCCTGGGGCGCGTTCCAATCACTTCCCTATTTTTAAAATGTATTTTTACCCGTGTGACACACGCAAAAAGAAACTAAATATTCAGAAGTTCTTCACCAAACATGCAAAATAGGGTAAAATATCCTGTTGCTTCTAGCATTATAGTAACCTTTACTCTCTTTAGGAGATTTAAATAAAACTAAACTTTGCAGGAAATACGGCCACATTCAGAAGGAAGCTGGAAATTAGTGATGTTAACTTCTGGGACAGAAAAAAAGACCCCACCATTAAATGATAGCTACTAGGAAAGTAGCTAATTTTATTCAGGACTTGAGAAAGTAATCACACTCTCTTGCCCTATGCAGGGCAAAATTAGTCTTGTAGCTTTTTAGGGAGCTAATGTAGTAAATTATCCTAATGGACAGGCTGAATTCTGAAGATTATGAACAGCTGACAGGACCTTAAAGAATATTTAGCCTCGTATCTTTAGCACAGACTAGGAAAATACCTGTCGAAAATTTAACTGAGACAGAAACCTGTTCTTGTATTCCAATAAAACATACATCACTTATCTGAAAAGAATATACTGACTAGTAAAAATGATCAAAAAAAATACAGAAAACCCAGAACAGCTTATTTTTACTAACCACGACTGCAGGGGGAAGAGAAGCCAAGAGAATGAACTAACTGCTCCAGTGCTACTACAGATGTTTATCTATAATGCTTACTTGTAACATCTAATCAGCTGAACTCCATCTGTTATGTGTCACCCTCCTACCACTCATTAAGAAAAACAAACAAAAAACAGTTAACGGCAGAGCTAATCTTAAATAGAAAGTTAAGAGGAAAAAGTATCTGGAAGTCTGACTTTCAGGAGCTGCTCACAAGCTCTCCAGCTTGCCCTCTAACTAAAGTTCTCAAAAGTCTTAACAGCCTTTATCACATGTATGTTCTGTGGGGGGTTTTTTTGGTGAAAAAAATAGAGAAAACCCCATGACATGCATTTTCAGTTTACTTGGCGGAGAGATAAGAACATTGATAGTACCCTCCAAAAGCCCTCGGAGCATAACTGCACCGTGTGAAGCAATTTCACAACGCAATACAGTGTATCTCCTCATGTGGTGTAAAGAACCAGAAACCCGCAAGGAAACAAGGTCATAACAGTAAAACTGAAAGAGCAGAAATGGTAACTTTGAGGCAGTTATGTTGAAAAAAGCTGAACACCAACTGTAGGAAGTCCTTACACCCTTAAAAAGTTGCTAAAACCTTTATACCTCACCTACCACAATCTCATGGCATTCAGTGTTTTCTGCCTGGATAAATGCGTGTATAAAATGGCATATTACAATAAGGAAGATGGCAAACATCAAAATGCAATCGGTGGAGATGGGGATGCCAAATTCGCCTTTGCCAGAGAGCAGCGGGAAGCCCCGCAGCGCTTTTGGCCCCTTGTGCCCCTTAGCAGCTACTCTTACTCACCGGCCGGGCCTGGGGACTCAAGTAGGGTTCAAAGTCATCATCATTTAACCCATCCTTCTGATGCACAGATCCGTTTTGCACTGAGAAAAAGATTTCCAGCGTTAGAAGGAACTCCGCTGATAAACTCGAACATTTACCAACTTAACAGCATTTAAAGGCAGACCATCTAATAGACCTATTGCTCTCTAGCTTCGAATATACCACGCTTAGCCCAACAGAGAGCAGAAAACCACTTCACCACCGCGCCAACGCTCTTTAACAGCAAACTTTCCTCAGCCCCAGCGGCCACGACGGTCCCCGCACCTCACGCTTTGCTTGGGGTTTTTTTGTGTTTTTTTTTTTTTTTCCCCCCCTCCACCCCGCTCCACTACGTGAGGCCACAGCGACCCGAGGCCGTGCCCGGCGCGTTTCGGCGGCCATCCTCCTCATCCCT